GCAGCTGGTGCAACAGGCCCACCCATGGCCTGTTGAGACTCCAATTGCTCTATTCGTGCTTGTTGAGCTTGGATTGTGCTTTGCATCTCCATTTGTACTTTTTGTTGATTAAGCATAGCATCCATCATCTCCTTCATTTGCATCTCCATTTGTGCTTTATATTGGTTAAGTTGCTCTTGGACTTGCGTTTGGATGATACAAGTTTGTTCTTGTGATTGCTTGCATTCGCCTCCAAAGACATCAGTCGGAGAAGGACCCAATCCGTATGTTCGAACACGACCAGGTAACTCAGGCCCTAGAACCTGTGTGATAATCTCTTCATCTGTATCATTGGATTGCGCCCTTTATTTGTGTCTACGATTGTTAATTAGTTAATTAGCCACTAATAAAATTCAACCTACAAGCAAGACATAATAACGACCACTTAACTGCCATGACAACATCTAAAGACTAAAACGGAGCAGCATAGAAAGATGCTAAAATTTCATATAAAAGGTACTAACTTGATGATTATGATGACCTCGTCCTAGGTCTGATGGGTACCATGTAGGATCATGAGTTCTATGTTATGTTGCTAGTTCTATGTTATAATAATGGTGCTACATACCATGAAGTCAGCAACTTTATCATTACTTGGTTTGTTATCCTTCGAGTACCCAGCCATCCACACCTCTAAGCGAGTAGCTGGAACTCCATTCTTCTTATTTGTTTCCTACAATTTCACTTAAAATTAAGGCCCCGTTTGGGGACTTATTTTTTTAGCCAAAAAGCCAAAAAGTTACCCTTTTAACCAAAAAGCCAACAACTCCTACCAAAAAGTCAAAAATTCTCTTCTCTCTATTTTTTGCACATCTTTTCGTAATTAGCCAAAAAGTCATCCCAAACATATAAGTTTTTTTTACTTATTTTTTTAGCCAAATAGTCAAAAAGTTACTAAATTGGCCTGTTCCCAAACGAGGCCTAAGTAACAAAATCAAAATATACAATTTCAATTTGAAATATAAAGAAACTATATACCTCTACTCGAACAACTGAGAATGGTTTTCTGCCGGTTATGTGATTTAATGTCTTTTTCTTCCGAATTTCTTTGTTTTTTGTACTTTTTTTCTATTACATATGAACACAAACACAAGATAATTTATTAATTAACAAACTCATCTTATGAGATTACAATAGAGTTCAATAAACAATTTAACACTAATCCCATGTAAAAGTACAATTTAAATTCAATAATACTGTGCTTTCCGAGTGCCCCAATAATAAACTAAGCTCCGCCATTGATGCTCGTGTACTCTTTTAGGTCGATGAGTTAACCTATCAGCATCATTGTCGAATGGCGTATATCCCATTTGTTTAACTCTAGCCTTCCACTCTCTCCATTTTTTTTCCAACAGATGCCAAAACAAATTTCTTCATTGACTCATCAGCATCTGTATTGACCTGCAAATAATTGGCAACTTTGTGATTATTGCATACACACAACAGCAACAACATACACGCAGCAGAATACACAAGGCATAATATAAAGAACAACATACACACAATAGCAACTTTAACTATTAAGTACTCAACATATACGCAGCAGAATACACAATGTAATTTTCCCTTTATGATGAGAGATGGGCCATAAATTTGACAGTTTGCGTCAGTATGTGTCTCCAGATGCAAAGGAAGCCTTCATATCCTTACTCAACAATCAATTTCCAACTTGAACCAAAAGAAGGGAAAAATAATCATTGTCCTACAACCAGGGCAAACAACAAGAAACATTATTGCAAGTCCAATACACAAGTCAGCCAGATGAGGACATAAATAAAGCTATCAAGGGCCTGGACAAAGTATATTAATGTGCAAAATAAACATTCCTTATAGACAGTATTAGTCTCAGCACAGACATTGACCTCTATTCTTCTTTAATTAAATAAAATTTCTGTCACCCATTAGCGAATTAGTAGATAATGTTATGTGGCCAACAGAACCAATTAACAATCTTGGTGTTGGCAAAAGTATTTCCTCTTAAAATATGTACAGTGCCTCAGGAAGAGAGAACAGGGAGGTGTGTGTCTGGCAAAAGTAATTCATTCCCTCCAAACTCAGAAACCACTCGCTATGACACCTCTCGATTTATTTTCGCATTTCTCTGCCCAACCATTTCTTAACCTACCCATTTTCTCTCAACCTTTAACACAATTCTCTGCCTATGGAGACAATCCTTTTAACAGCTCACCTTCCACAACGACTTCAAGAGTTGAGACAACACTCATCGTCACTAAAACAAAAACCGAACTTGCTTGGAGTGGAATGTTATCAAAATCATATTTCTTTTCATGGCATGGCATATTGAATCCTGTTGTGCTATTTATTGATATGCTATGTCAGAATTCAAAACTTATCCAGACTATTGAACTCAACAATTCATCAACTATGAAACACAAATACTCCAAAATAGGTTGCATACGAGTATCGGAAACGTATACGTGTCTGATACGCCAGGATACGGCCAGAAAGTATCCCTTTTTTTTCTTTTCTTTCTTTTTTTAAATTTTAGATACGGTTCGGATACACATGGATACGTGGGAGATACGTTCCGCATACTTTTGGGATATGACAGGGTAGAAAACATAATTTGAAAACTTTTTTGTGGGTTAAACCATAAAGTCCATATTCCATTCAAACCAAGTCCATATTCTCTCTTTATTTTCATGGTGAACAATGAAGAAAAGACATGCCCAAAATAAGAAATGAAATAATTCTTTCACCTTTACTTCTCTCCAAATTCTCTCTTTGTTTTCCTTTGGTACATGACTCCAAGTTCTATAAGTAAGGGGCATAAGGTTCCCATCTCGAGCTAAGACACCCAAACGAGAAGCCAAGGGTGTATACCCATCAACCACTTGGTTCAACTCATTAGGAAAAATATGTAAAATGCCATCACTTGGGTTCCAATCACAACCGTGCATGAGTGTTGGGCCTCTCGAACTGCGACCTACTCATCCAAATATCAATATCAAGTTAGAAGATACTAGAAAGAATGATAAAAATTGACTTAAATGATGTATGTTTATTTTGTTTACTGACTTAAATGTAATTGAGTTACTAATTAACAAGAAAGCAATGATTAAAATCACTTAGTTTTAAAAAAAGAAATGTAAAACATTAAAAGAAAAAAGAACATAAATAGAGAAATAATTCATACCAGCAGTAGTGTCATGTGTTGAACCAGTACTCGATGATGTACTAGGCAAGCTACCTAGAGGATACCATGACATGGGTGGATCAGGTATGATGCATGTACTCTCCTCTGAACTCTCATCTGAACTCCCACTATAAGAACTCTCATCTGCACTCCCACTACAAGAACTCTCAGAATTTGCAGAGGCTGAATGTTGCCTCTGCCTAGAGCACCGTCGATCTGTCATGCTAGTTTATAGAAGATCACAAGCATACGTGTAGAATTTTATGGGTTAGCAATGAATATAAAGTACAATAGATACAATAATGAATACAAAAACAAAGATTTTATTAACAAAGCAAACAAATGACGCATTATAAAAGCAAAGGTTTCATTAACATGAATATCCATACTGAAAGCACAAATGTAACAATGAATATGACCCAAAATTACAATATCATATCATTTCTTCATCATCTTCAGATTGTGTCTGTGTCGATATCCCAAGAGGTCCAATAGTTTCATCAATAGTTGTTCCAACTTCACCTTGTCTAACCCAATTTATGTCCTCTTCACAAGCAAACGAAGTTGCATCTAACCCCTGGTCGCCAAATCCTTCCACTTCATTGTGATGTTCTCCATCATTAATTGGTTGTTCTCCACACACCTCATACAAGTCTCTAGGTTTCATCTTGACTACAACATCCCAATCAGCTTCAATGGGATCATTAACATAGAAAACTTGTTGTGCCTGAGATGCTAGGATGAATGGCTCATCACTATTTTGTTTCTTTGTATATAACAAATGATTGAAATTAACAAGTGTGAAACCAAACCCATCCTGCTTCAGTCCTTTGTTGTTGTCAATCCAGTCGCACATGAATAACACATATCTACGGTCGTATGAGTAATACAATTCAATAATGTCTGTCACATATCCATAGTATGCTACTTCACCTTCCACAAGATTCATGTCTCTGGTACTTGCATAGCTACAAGTCTTTGCTTTCACCATAACCCCACTATTTTGAGTTTTTCTTCTCCACTCACGACTCCTCGTATGATACCTAGTGCCATTAATTATATACCCACTGAATCTCATGGCCTTTTTACTAGGTCCCAATGCCAAAGTTTTAATCTCATCTGACAATACATCATTTTGAATAGTTAGAAGCTCTTCAACCTATTTTTACAAAGTCAACAAAATTAAATATCAACTAATAGAGAATTAAAAATTAAAAACATGAGAATTGAAAATTAGAAACATGTAAGTTATTAGTACTTACATGAGAATTAAACCATCTGGGAAACTCATCATTGTGACGGCGATCCATATCAAAATCTTTGAGACGACGATGTGACCGCTTAATGAAATCACGATGCTCCCTATACATTTAAAGTACTTATAAAATGCAAGATACTTATTAATGGTATCAATAAAATTTTGGAATAAAGATTGTATCTTACTCTCGATATGGGACAACTGCAGCAGTGTTAAATAACACATACCGATGAGCTTGTACCCATGATGTGTTATCAAGCGCAAACCCTTCTCCTTTTCCTAAAGCATGACCCAGTAATATCCCGGGATTGTCGCTAACATCGTAATTCCTTATTGGTCGATTCAATTTTGACTCGACATCATCCAAGTACCTTGAGCAAAAGGTCATACACTCTTCAACTAAGTATCCCTCTGCAATTGAACCTTTTGGATGACTTCGATTACGCATATATAACTTAAGTGTCATAAGATACCTATAAACAAACAAATGCACACATGACTTTCAATTATAAACAAACAAATGAATACAACTGTAAATTGGAGTAGAATTGCACACCTTTCTATAAAGTACATCCAGCGATATTGCACTGGACCGGCAATCTTGGCCTCCTCTGCTAGGTGAATAGGCAAGTGCTCCATTATATCGAAAAAGAATGGAGGAAAAATTCTCTCAAGATGACAAAGTGTAAGAGCAATTTGGGATTGAAGACGATCTAACCCATCTAGCTCTAGAGTTTTGGAGCACAACTGCCTGAAGAAATTGCTTAACTCAATCAATGGTTCAATAACTTTCTTCGGTAACAAATTTCTCACTGCTATTGGAAGTATTTGTTGCATCAATATATGGTTGTCATGACTTTTCAGTCCAGATATGCTATGTGGTTTGAGGTTGACACGACGAGAAATATTGGATGCATACCCATCTGGAACTTTGATATTCTTCAAGAGTGTACAAAACAAACCTCTCTCTCTCTATTGTTCATAGCAAAACATGCAGGCGGCAAATAATACCTGTTCACAACCCCTTTTTTAGGATGTAATGCCTTTCGAATTCCCATATCTTGTAGGTTTCGACGAGCATTTAAATTATCCTTTCCTTTCCCATCAACATTTAATATCGTCCACAATACATTATCACACACGTTCTTCTCAATGTGCATTACATCAAGATTGTGGCGAATCAAATTATGCTCCCAATATGGAAGCTCAAAGAAAATACTCCTCTTCCTCCAATTATGATCCCCCTCGTTGTCCTCTTTTTCCTTTCCTTTCCTAGTTCTTTTTTGTCTGTTAGTTGGTTGATGCTTAGGCCCTAGCTGTCGTAACACATTAGCCCCCGATAACCGAGTTGGACATGGTTCAAATTCAAAAGTTCCATCAAACGACGCACCATCTTTTCGAAATTTGTGACTCGCATTCAACCAGCGGCGATGCCCCATGTAACAAATATTCCTTCCATTCTTTAAATACCGATGTCAAGTACGTATGTTACAACAAGGACAAGCTAAAGCACCTTTCGTGCTCCATCCAAACAAATTTGCATATGCTGGAAAATCATTTATTGTCTACAGTAAGACCGCGTGCAATTGGAACATTTGATTAGTTTCTGCATCGTATGTCTGAACACCATTTTCCCACAATTCATTCAGTTCATCCACTAATAAGCGCAAGTAGACATCAATGTTATTTCCAGGTGAAGAAGGACCATCAATGAGCAATATCATCATCATATGTGGTTGTTTCATGCACAACCACGGTGGCAAATTATAAGGCATCACAATAACTAGCCAACTGCTATGAGCAACATTCATTGCCTTGAATGGATTAAATCCGTCCGCTGCTAAACCTAGTCTGACGTTGCGAGGTTCACTCGCAAACTTGGGATACAAAGTATCAAAATTTTTCCAGACAGGAGAGTCAGCAAGATGTCTCATTTTGCCGTCATCAATGCGGCCCTCTGCATGCCATCTCATTAATGAAGCAGTTTTGGATGACATGAACAATCTTTGAAGCCTTGGAATCAAAAGAAAGTATCTCACAATCTTTTGGGGAATTCTTTGTTGCTTTTTTTTATAATCATTCTTCTCACCCTCAAACTGTTTGTATCTAGGTGTCTGACATACTATGCAATCATCCCTACTAGTTGTCTCCTTCCAATACGGTGAGCAATCTCTTGGGCATGCATGTACCTTGTGATAATCGAGGCCTAATTCCCTAAGGAGTGCCCTCATTGCATGGAACGACTTTAGCAAAGTTTCACCTTTTGGAAATACATCCTTCAAAAGTTTAAGCAACATCGTGAAAGACTTGTCGCTCCATCCACTAAGGCACTTGATATGCAATAATCGAACAACAAATGAGAGCATTAAAAACTTGTGACACTCTGGATACAACTCTCTTTCGGCCTCCTTCAATAAACTAAAAAATCTTTCAATTTTCTTATCCGGGCCTAGTTCGATATTAGAACTTCCTGTCTCATTACTAGCAAGATGAACCAAGCTTGGTGGAGGACGTCCGAACCCCTCATATATCATTTCATTGACTTCATCGCCATCATTCAAATCACTGACATTCTTATTCAATGGCACAGACACCGATAAATCTTCCCTGTGAAAAATCCATCTGGTGTAGCTTGGAATAAACCCATTGACCATTAAATGTTCCCCCAAAAGGTCTTTCTTTACTAGTTTGACATTCCGACACTGTTTACATGGACATGTGACTTCATTGGATAGAAGATTATTTTGGCATGCAAGTTTAACAAATTCCTTAACCCCTTCTATATATTCTGGATGCAACCTATGCTGATTTATCCAACTTTTATCCATCTGACTTCGTCTTACACTACAACTGTCACTGTCAAATCAACAAAGTTCAAAATTATCATTTCATTTTAATTATTCTTAACCTCAATTAAGTACCTTATAATGCATGCGACATGACACCATTCACCTCAAACTCTTCTCTAATAGGTTGGTTCATCCTACTTTCCCATTCAGGAATACACAGTCTATATTGTAAAAAGTAGCTCATACCGCTCTATCCATCTCTAACGAAATTTCGGCAGCATCTCCCCATGGTTCTCCAAGTACACTACACAGACTGGGTGTATTGCTACACCTTGTCTAGTATGCACCCGGAGAACATGAGGAGCTACTACATGAAATCTCTACGAGATGGACTATATTTAAGCAGTAGAACTACTAATTACAACATAGACTTGTGTTCCTGAACTGTCCGAACTGGACAATCCAAGAAGAGCCTCATCAAAGATGACTAGGTATCTCTGATGAAGATTCTTGGACGGGTCTACGGCTATTTATGCATGCATGGATAATTACTTGCTAAATTAACAACTGTCATGATTTTTGCATCCCGGTGGTGCAACTTGAATCAACACTATCAAGCATACTAGAAGCATTTCTAGCATGAAGCATATTAATGAAGAAACTAAAAGTTTCTACAATGCTCTTGATAGATTATGATATAGAACTTCATCAAGGTGACTGAGTATCTCTAATGAAGATTCTACAAGAACAACCAGTTTATCCTGATTGATCACAAAGTAAAAAATTCCATGATTGTAGTTGATAGCACATTAGAATGGCAATTCATTTTGTTTGTTCTTGTACTCACAAGTAAGCAACAAGTTCTCACTACTACATGAACACCCACACATACCAATATATCTTAGTAGTGTTCTATTTCATTTGTATAGCACCATTTTTGTGTCCCTATCAAAGCCCAAAAAGAAAACTGTGCAGACGAGGGTAGATTTCAAATTACTTAACAAAAAATTATGATAAACGTTAGAAATTCAAAATCATAATGTTACACAAAAAATATAGACCAAGCAACGTTTCTTTTATGGCGTTTTGAGAAACGCCATTATATCTTATTGCACCCCGGATATCTCACTGGTATATCATCCAGGTCCATTTTCCATTTGCTGAATCCCCAAGTCTAAGACCCACACCACATATAATTTTCATTCCAGCCTCAATATGGGTTGATAACTAAAGGTATCTTGATTCAATCCAACTTTAGACAGAAAATGCAGTTTTTACTTGCCAAGTTTGTGGATAAAATTGGTGCCCTAATTTGTCCATCTCACCTTAGGAGTAGAGACCATCATTCAACTTCCAATATCCTCTATTAAATCTGATGTCATGGAATTTTTTCAAGTCTTTTAAGTTCACATAGCTAGTTCCAATATATAATAAAATTATCTTGCTCGCAGGCAATAAAAGAAATATGTTTACATTAAGTTTTCCACTATACCAAAGTCAACCAAACAGGATTCCCTATAATTGAAGGACACCCATACCAACTTAGCCAAATATGCTTAGACAAACTGCAAAATAACCTGAAGCCCATCTGATCAAAAGCATCAGTACAGAAATTAGTCTTGCAACTATCAATAATTTATTAACTAAGAAAGCCAGAGGGTTTCTCAGCATTCTATGATCTCCACCAACATAGTTAAAAGAGGAAGAAAGACTGTGGTTAGCGCCTTCCTTCAGAACAAGTGGAGGCAACCCTACAAACTCAATTTCAAACTGATAATCATCAATAATTAATTCTAAGCTTGGGAATTACTAAAAACATACATCTAAATTCGCAAAACAAGAAAAGAATTGCAGCAACACTCGACTACAATTAAAGAAAACTCCATATTTCCATTTACCTAAACGTGAATACCATTAAGATTTAGAATACATTCAATATATTTATATATGTGTCGATGAAACTCAAAAATTATCACATTCTCATACAGGGACATTTATTTCTCAGTAGTTCTGCAGTTCATTACATCTCCAGGATAGTTCAGCTGTCCAAACAAAGCAGCACAGAACTAAAATGGCATTGTTCTGACTGTCAAATAATAAAATGTGGATAAACACTCACCGAAGGAAACAAAAACAAATCAAAAGGCCTACTAGCCATATGACAAAGGCATTAGATCAAAAATTTCTTGACTCCAAAACTGGAGTACTTTGTCAATCCTCAAACTTACCGGGGTGATTACTGTGCTATAAGCAAAGATTTAACACCCTATAAGCCTCTATAATAGATATGTAAGCCATTATTAGAGCAGACAAAAACAAGGAAAATGACCAAATAGAATTAGAAGACAGAGAAACCTCCAGACATCCTTCAAGAAAATATTTATGAAGCTTGAGTAAAATCTGAATTTTCCCCTATAAAAGGAAGGCAGAGACTAGCTCACTAGCCAGAATCCCAGCTCCTTTAGAAAGAGAGGTTGTAAATCCCATTCAGCGTCATCAAAATCAGACACCTCAACAACCCATCACGGCACAATGATGTGAGGTCCAGCCAGAGTTATTAGGTCCTCTAAAGCTCAAGTAGTTTCATCGGATTAAGGCATTAAGTTTTTAAAATTTTGATATACTTACATATGTGTGTGTAACATCTTACCATGCTTATATATATATATATATATATATATGCCAATAAAACCTTCTCTGTCTTTTCTTTTCTTTTTCTTTTTTCTTTTTTTTTTTTGGCTATGTTACTGAACCTCTTTACAATCTTACATAAAATTCACAGAAAATTCATTATATTCCTCAGTTGCATCATTTACATTCCCCTGCAAGGGCTAGATCTGAAATGTTTAAAATTACCTATATTACAATGTCATAACTAGTCTTTTATGCTTCTTATGTAAATATGATGAGGAATATGCTCTCACAGACGAATAGTTACAAACCAGATTCAGGACAAGAATGAAGCAGCTCTTAGAGATGAAAACTTGGATGTGCTGAAACTAGTGTTAGAAGTTCATGTTTTACGTTCTAATGAAGATTCTAATGAAAATTATAAGCACTAAAGATATAGAACAAGCACACTTTCCAAACAGATAATCAATTGCAAACATCCAAATACTCTCATACATTGTCATTCTGAGATCAACAGAGATCGATCTGGTTCAAACTCGAACACCGATTAAGAGAATGAAAATTGTACCTAAGATAAGAGCAACAAAGATCGATCTGGTTCGAGAATGATATCGATTTTGGATCTGTGATTTGATGAAGAATAGATCAAGTTTGAGTTCAAGTTCGATGAAGAGACTGATCAAAGCTCTCCAACGACAGATCAATGAAGAGCAACACCTGCAATCGAGCGAGCAAGAGAGAGAGAGAGAGTGTGTGTGTGTCTTTGATCTGGTTCGATGAATATCAGTCGAGGGCTTTGGAAGAGAGAGAAAGAGAGGAAGAGAGACCGAGCTATGGAAGATATAGAGAGAAAGTGAGAGACGGAAAGTGAGAGACGAAAAGTGGACGGTGTCAATGTATACACCCAATACGACGCCGTTCAACTGAGCTCTAACACAACGTTTTGGAAACGTTTTTTTTCATCCATCTATAATGGCGTTTCTCAAAACGCCATAAAAGAAACGTTGCGGTAGCCCATT